TGCCTAAGCTGCTGGCTTTGCTGAAGGGGTTTTCATCGCCAGCAGCAGCTTCGGGGTGAAGCAGTTAAGGGTATGAGAGGCCCAGTTGGCCCCTCTCAGGGGTTCCCCTAACCTGGATCCATTTCCCGTGAAGAACTAGTGAGCTTGTGGAAGTCACGCTCTCTGAGCACACTTTGTGGAGAATCTGTCCTCTGTGCTTATCACCGTGAAGGGCAAAGTCTGTCAGATGTGCAGGATGGGGTGCTCGCTCCCCCAAGACTCCAACCCCAGCCTCTGCCCAGCCTCACACCGGCTCAGCATCTGGGATGAAAGGGCCTGGGGAGGGAAATGGGTTTCCTCTAAGGTGGAAATTGCCGCCTGGGGCCGGGGGCTGGGATCGATTACCGGTGTCTGCTCTGGCAGAACAGGGCAGCCTGTTTGCCAGCCCAGCAGTAGGTTTTGTGGAGCAAAGGAAGGCCTTCTCTCACTTGTAATTTTTATCGTGCGTTCTTGGTGAATGGTCATTTGTGAATGGCCAACGTGTCTGTACAACTCTATGGGGATATGGACATACGTGTATGGTTTATCTGAATAGTCCATGAGCCAGAACACCCCATTTCCATTTCCCAGCCATTTTAGATCCTGGCAACTGTTGGAAAAAGACAAAGTTTTACCCCTTTTCATATACTGAACAATATTATGACCAACATTATCATGAGGCATCAACATCAACATGATGACAACGATCAATATCACCATCATTGCCACCATCACCATCACCACCATCATCACCACCATCACATCATCACCATCATCACCACCAACACCATCATCATCACTACCATCATCACCATCACCATCATCACCATCACCATCACCACCATCACATCATCACCACCATCACCATCAACGTCATCACTATCATCACAACCAGCACCACCATCACCACCACCATCACCACCACCATCACCATCATCACCACTGTCACCACCACCATGACCACCATAATCACAGGAACAGCAGGTAAAGCTCACACAGTGTGTCCTAAGTACTAGGCTATGTTCAAATAGCTTTATGCTAAGTACCAGGCTATGTTCAACGTGCTTTATGCACGTTATCCCACCTAATTCTCACACTATCTCTGTGAAGTAGATATTATTGTTACCTCTATTATATAGACAAACGGAGTTGAGTAACCTGTGCGGTCTACACGGGCAGGATGTGAACCCAAGACGTCTGGGTCCAGAGTCCATGCTTTGATCACTGTGCCCAATGGCCTACTGACCATCTATCCCACTTCCCAGAGCAGAGAGCCACAGGCAGCAGTATGAGAACTGGGCCTACCAGACCTGGGCTCTAGTCCCAACCTAGACAAGATCCCTGCCTCCTCAGGCCTCCATTTTCCCATCTGTAAACCAAGGAGGTGAATGAACATCTGGACGACCTCCAAGCTCCCTCAGGCTACCACTGCACGTGATCTGCCAGCCCCTCCAGATTTCAAAGCCTCCAGAAATCTCTGTATGGTCCTCCTGGGGGAACTGGTGGGGGATCTGATGGCCCATGGGGGAACACTCCAGTGGGCTCCATTAATTCCGACTGATGCCTATCCTTAGGGGTGAGAAAAACCTCAGTGCCAGTGGAACAGTGTCCACTCAGGTCCCCAGAAACCCTTACAGAAGGTATAGGGAGTGAGTGGCCAAATGGTGTCCTCTCAGTTCTTGATGACTAGTCTCCATACTTTTCTTTTTTAAAAGATTTTATTTTATACTTTATTTCAGAGAGAGAGAGAGAAAACACGAGTAGTGAGTGGGGCAGAGGGAGAAGCAGGCTCCCTGCTCAGCAGGAAGCCCAAGGTGGGGCTCGATCCCAGGATCCCGGGGTCATGACCTGACCCGCAGGCAGATGCTTAACGACTGAGACCTCCCCACCCCCGGGCACCCCAGTCTTCATACTGTTAACAAGGCGACTCCACAGGTACCGACTTACTACCTATAGGACCTTGTTGATGAAGAATTTCTATGCATGTGTAATTTCAGCTCATGTGGCCTGACCCAGATCCAGAGCTCCTTGAGGAGAAGGGCTGGGTGGCGCTGTCATTATTGCCCAAGGTGGGCTGCACGGAACCATTTTCAAAGGTCGTCACCATTGAAGCCATCATTAAAGGAGTCTGTTCACACCACCTCTCCCAGCCCGCAGCCTCAGTGAGAGGTGGTGAGAACATAAGACAGAGAGGGTGACAGTGGCAACAACGGCACTGTCAACTGTGTACTGAGCGCAAACTTTACCCTGAGTGCCTATCACGAGCCAGGCACCGTGACGGGCAGGCCTGGGGTTCACTGCCGGCATTTCATTCCATCTTCAGGAAGGCTTACGGTGAGGGGTATTTTGGGGCCATACAACCAAAGGAGAAACTGAGGCGGGAGGGCAAACGACCACCTAGACTTTCACGTCGGAGGTGGGCTGCAACCGATTCCCGCCCAGAGGCTGGGCCCGTTCTTGCTTTCCTCTGCCATTAGACAGGGTGGAGAGGACATTGTGACGAGAGCGAGTCCTCCCATGGCCCCAGCACACCCCTTCCCTGCCGCCCGCACAGCCTCTCTGTGGGCAGTTTCTATCTACGTGGCTCCTCACCTCCCAGGAACTCCAGTCTGGGCAAAAGAGAGCCAACTCAGACTAAACATTTTCTGCACACCCATGCTCATGCCAGGCTCTGCCCCCCAGAGCGGGGAAGATGGGGACAAGCCTGAAAGGTAGTCTGGGGGCTCACTGTGAGCCCAAGTTGGATAGCTGCTGTGTGGTGGGCCTCAATGCTGAGCCCATCGCCAGCCCTCAAATGGGCTCACCATTCAGCAGGAGAACAAGACACATAATTATATCCGAAGGCAGCAGTGCTCTGAGGGGGGCATGGGGTGGCGCGGTCAGTTAAGTGTCTGACTCTTGGTTTCAGCTCAGGTCATAATCTCGGGGTCATGAGATCACTCCCTCGCCCCAATTCTGGCTCTGTGCTCAGCATGGAGTCTGCTTGACATTCTCACTCCCTCTACTTCCCCCAAAGAAAGAAATAAATCTTAAAAAAAAAAAAAAAAAAGTGCTATGATGGAGAAAAGCACTTAATGTGGCCGTGTGTGTGTGTGTGTGTGTGTGTGTGTGTGTGTGTGTGTGTGTTTATGTGTGTAGAAGCAGAGGTATCAAGGAAGGCTTCCCAGAGGAGGCAAATCTAAAGCCTGATTAGGAATTGGCCAGGACACAAAGGGTAGAAAAGGAGCTCCTGGTAAGGGGAAGACCTGTGCTGAGGCCAGAAACATGGAGCGGCTTGGTGTGTGGGTGTGTGGCCAGGACACGAGGGCCATTTGGGGTTTCAGGAAATGAGGGGCAGAAGCCAGAGCCAGACTAGCAAGACATGGAGGCCCCTGGCATTTCCAGAGGCACATTCACAAGCCTCCTCCTCTCTCATTCTTACCCTGAGCCAGCAAGTCTAACCCCCAGCCTGGGCTCAGGCAGAGTGGAGAGCTAAAGCTGGACTCTGGAGGACATCAGGGAAACAGGCAGAAGAAAAAGTGTGGGCCTCCAGGCCTGGGGACAGCAGGAAGGGACCCTAAGGAGCTGGGCTGGAGGAGGAACAGGCTGGGTCAGTGGCTTAAACAAGCAGAGATAGAGGGCTGCCCTTGGCCCTCCCTTGCCAGAGCACTGTGCCTGGAGCAGGGAGCAGAGAGTCAGAAAACGGTCATGTTAGAGCCTCACACGTGCCACTTGGAACCTCCAGGCCCTGCCAGCAGGGGGGCCAGCCCGTGCCACCAGGCTCTTTGCTCAAGACCTGGTCTATCTGACTCCAGCCGGACCTCCTTCCAGAGGTCTGTGGGTATGCGCCAGCTCCCCACTCAGGCTTCTGGGCCCCAAGCAAGGCCAGAGATGTGGCCAAAGCAGGCACGATGCAGACCATTGCCAACTGCCCAGCCCTCAGCCCTGAGAGATACCAGCAAGTGAGACGGATGAATCGTGTCAGCGTTCTAAGGAGGCATATCTGCATCTCCCACAAAGCTCCAGCACCTACAAAGCTTTAAAGAGAAGGAATGGGCCCCCATCATACTCTCATGGGTCGCTTTCCTAATACGAATTTCGTGCTTTGCGAAAGTGAGCTGGCAGGGCGTGGGGAGAAGCAAACAAGAAGCTAGGGAGCCATGGAGGGGGAGTCCAGGGTCCTGGGGTTCAGTGCTTGCCATGCCCTGTGGGACCTGGGGGATTGTTGCTCTCGGGGCCTCAGCTTTCCTCGTCTGCAAAGTGGGGACAGACAGGGAAGATTCGGAGCAACGATTCTCAGCCGGGTATGAATGCGGGACACCGAGAGGGCGGCTTCCAGCTCCCTGATGATGGGGTTCTCCAGAACAACACAGAATGGCCACACAGCCCCTCCCTGACAGATGATCCCATGAGTTCCATCCAGCCTGGGCCGTCCTGCTTCCAAGGACAGCCAAGGCCGCTCCTCTCTCTCTGACTTTCAGCTTGCCAGGGAGGGAGTTTCCAGCACCAGATAGTCAAACCCAAATCCCAGGTGCAGGGAAGAAAGGCTGGACAGACAGACATGGCACAGATGTATGTCTTCACCCAAGCTCTCGTACCTGAGCCAGCCCATGAAAGCTGTGGCTGGCTACTAAGCAGGTCCTTTGAGGAAGCTACAGCCACATGGGGTGGGGTGGGTGGTTTCAAAGTTAGGGACCTGGGGGAGGGTTACCCCAGGCCTTTACCCCACACATATCCAGTCAGAGACAAGAAGGATGAACGTGCCAGTCAACACTTCATCTCATTTAAAATAAAACAAAAGTTTCAATTCCCGGGTGAGTCAAGTACCCCGTGACTCCAGATTCCTCCCTCCAGGGAAGCAGCTTAGCTTCCCAAGAAGCCCCCGGCTCCCTCCCACAGCCGAGTGAGGTCTGCGCTGCTGGCACGCCACGGGCTGGCCATCGGCCACGTACGGCGGCCGTGGCGGCCCCGGGGTCCGGCCAGGAGGGCCAGGCTGGGCTCACCTTCACACTGCCTGCCTTCCCCTTTGTAGCCCGGCTTGCAGAGACATTTGTAGGACTTGGGTGTGTTCTGGCAGATGGCATCGATGTGGCAGTCATCTGTGCCCTCCGAGCACTCGTCCACGTCGACTGGCCCTGGGGTGGGTGGGGGAAACAACTGGTGAGATGTGGTCCGGTCAGAGGGGGTCGGACGGGCAGGCCGCGGTGGCTGGGGGGCAGGGAGCTCCTTCCGTCCTCTACCTTCCATTGATCGCTGGGGTAATTAACAGTAATAGCCATCACACGACAACCCGGTGTGACGAATGGTGACTGGTAGCATTTTGGGGGCAGCTACTCTGTGCCAGACACAATGCCACCTGAATGTGGCCTCCCATTTAATTTTCACGATGGTCCTATCAAGTCGATCCATTACTCCCGCAGGAGAGATGACAAAACCGAGGCTTAGGAGCACCGCCAGGAAAGCCTCTCTGTGTGTCTCGCTCTCCCCACAAGCATCATCCCTTCTCTACTCTCCTTATTCTAGAATTCAGAGCCAGAAGGGCCTTGGAGGAATTTAAATCTATCCCCTTTAGGTTACAGTGGGGGTGGGGTGGGGGCGGGAAACCAAGGCTAGAATGGAGCCCGGAGCAGCGGCCAAGCCAGGAGGCCCAGGGTGGGTGATCTCACCCCTCTCAGCCCCAAGGCTGTGGAAATCGAGGATTCTTCACCCAGTTTCCAGGCCTCAGACTGCAGTGGCCAACCACAGAGCCACACCCTCAGCAGGGCTGACCCAGCTCACCCGTGGTTCTGACCTCCCCATCCTCTCTCCTCTCCACCTTAGACACCTAGGACCTGGCTCTCAGATCCCAAATTCCAAACTTGAGTTCAGTCTAGGTTTTGAGGGCTCCTGGCACTCCCCACCTCCCATCCTAACTCACACACTTACACCTTCGGTTTGGAATAGCTGTTGGCCGAAGTAGAGCAAGATAGATCCTGTGTTTCTGTCTATCTCTCTCTCACTCTGCCCATCTCTCTCTCGCTCTCTCCCACATACACACACATAGCACAGAGCTCAATGAGGGCAAAGGACCCTCGGGACACAGGATAGCACAGCCAGAAGAACTTTAGTTATAATCTGGGTTATAGATGAGAAAACTGAGGCCCAGAGAGGTCTGTTGTAGGTCAGTAGCTCATGAGGGGCAGAGACTAGAGCTCAGATCCAGAGCTTTCTATGGGCCTTGTTACTTCCAGCTAGCCACGAATAAAATACAGATGGATGACAGATAGAAGGGCCCAGAAGGGCAGCACAGGGAAACCTCAGCATCTACTCCAAAGGCAGTCACTCAAGGGCAAGGCTGGGGAAGTCCTGGAGAGACCTCCTCTCTTCCTGACCCCAGCCTTCCCCTGAACTGTCTGGTTCTCAAGACTGTCCAATCTGAATTACTCCCCTGGCTGGCATCGGGGTTCTAAATCTGTGGGGGGTCTCTCTAAAAGAACAAAACTTCTCTCTAAGTCTCTAAGGGCTGCAGCCTCCCCCAAAGGAAGAGAGGCATCAGCAAGAAGCCTAAGAGCAAAAGTTTCCTACACAGGCATGCACACGAACGCACATACACATGCACACACACGCACAGCAGGTGGTGTCACTTTTCAGGGTGGTCATATCTGATCAGGTCAGCAGCCCGTCCTCTACAGCTGCCCCAAGGAAGGTGGAACAGGAGCCAGGAACGGGCCAGAGCCAGCCACCAAATGGTCAGGGACCAGTGGGAATGTCAGACCAGCAGAACATCTCCTTCTGGGGAAGTGACAACACAGGGATGCCCGTGCAGGCTGAGCACGGTCTCCAGAGCAGGAAGTCAGAGGCCAGGGAGGGCCAGTCAGCATCCTTCCAGTTGGGAGGCGTAGGGCCACTTCTGAGATAGGACCAGCAGGGAAAACGGGCCACAGATGCACATCCCAAGGGTCAGTGCACAGAAATGAGGGGAGGGAAACTGCCTGGGGTTCTGGAGCCCCCTTTGCCCTGTATCCCTAATCTCTGAACTAGGCAGGTAACCTCGTGGGAAGGGAAATGGATGAACCTTAGCCATGGGACTGGTGTGGGGGGGGGGGGGGGCGGGACACCTCCCTACACATCTTCTAAACAAGTCTTTAGGTGGGGGCTGGGGAGAGGGAGAGGAGCCAAGGCCATTTTTTCCCCTGGTCTAACCTTGCTCCCTGCCCAGGGCTGGGGACTCCCTCCAGAGGGAGCCCAGCCCTTCCTTGGCCTCCCACTGCTTGCTTTGACTGGTTTGTGTCACAGCACAAGGCTTTCAGGGGCTGGGACACACAGACACAGAGGAGGGACAGAGAGGTAGAGAGAGGCACACGTGAAAATAGCCAAACAAGGGCAAAGGATCCTAAAGTCTGAGAGAGACACCCACAGACACAGTGGGGGCTGAGGGCCGCAGGGCCCAGCCTCCAGGGGCTCCAGCTTCGGGAAGAGTTTAAACGCCTGGCATCCTCAGGGAGCGACTCCCAGGAATAGATTTCTATGCCACCAAACACAGACTTTGGGGAGCCCAGCATGGTAGCTGGGGGGAGGGGTGTCCAGAGAAAGCCAAGGACAGCAGAAGCAGGCAGAGTACTCCCCCCCACCCCTCAAGGAGAGAGGGAGGAAACTCCTCCGAAGCAAGCTGTGGGAGGAGACACTGCTTTCCGCTTTGTGGGAGCACCCCTGCCAGACAACCAAGAGAGTGGGAGGGGAGGGAGAGGGTGCTGGGGAGCTCCTGTGAAATCCTGCCCCCCTCCCCTGCGCTGCTAGCCTCTTCTGCCCTGCCCAAACCATGCCCCAAATGCTTGGGATCCGGGATGATCCCGTTTCTTCCTTCAGTGCCTCTTGCCGCCCTCTCCTGGGCCTCCTCCCCTCGGTCCCAAGCTTCGTCTCCCCCCCTCTGGTTCCCATCCATCTCCTTCGCTCTGTGTCAGTCCCTCTGCCCTTCCAGTCCTGTCTGACTGTCTGTCTGCCCATCCCTTTCCAGCCTTGTCCACTTCTGTCTTTCCCATCCGTCTGTCTTGCTCCCTCCCTATCCCCCACCCCCAGTCTTCTCGTCTCTTTCTCTGCTCCTCTCTCTCCCTTCCCATCCCTTAGTCCGTGCCTCACATCTCCCTTTATCTGTGTTTTTCCTTCCAGCTGCCCATTTGCCTCCTTCTCTCTCCATTGGGTTTCCTCCTTCCCCTCCGGTCTTCTGTTCTCCTCCCTACTCTCCGTGTCTGTCTTTCTCCGGGTTCTTTCTGTGTCCTTTTGTGTGTTCCCTCCGTGCCTCTTTTCCCGTTCATCCGTCCCCCGATCCACCGCCTCCCCCCATCCCCTTTCTCTCTAGGTCAGTCCTTTCCCCCGGCTCCCCTCCTCTCCGTCTCCCCCTTGGGCCTCCTTCCGCCCGCACGCCCCTCTTCCCTGGGGGAGCGCCCGTCAGGCTCCAGGGTCCCCACTCCCTCTCGCCTGCGCTCTGAGCGCCGGGGCTCCCCTCCACCGGTCGTCGCGCTTTCTTTCTTCCTCCCGCCCTCGCACTCCCTCTCCCGGGGGCCCCAGCCCGTCCCGCCCCTGCTGCGGCCCCGCCGGGTTCCCGGAGCCCCCCCCGGGGCGCCGGGCTTCGGGGAAGGGGCGCCCGGCGTCGGCCCCAGAAGTTACTTTGAGAAGAGGCGGGGCGGGGCGCGGGGCCGCGCGGGCTGCAGCCCCCTCGACGGCGCGGGGCGGGGGCCCACCCGGGACCCCGCCGCCGCCCCGCGCCCGCCGCCCGGCCGCCCGGCCGCTCGGGGCTTACCTGGGAGCCCGCTGCCCCCCGCCAGGCGCCCGCGCGCGCCCAGGACGAGCAGCACGCACAAGTGCCAGCGCACGGCCGCGGCGCCCATGCTCGCTGCGAGCCTGGCCGTGCCGGCCGGGCGTGCGGGCGTGCGGGGCGCGGGGAACCCTGCGACCGGCCGCTCGGCGAGCGCTCCTGGCTGCTGGCTCCTCGGCCACCGCTCGGGCTCCCAGCCGCCCAGCCGGCGCGGCTGACGAGCTGACAGCCGTGCGCTCATTGGCCCGCGACTGCCGGGGGGGCGGGGCTCTTCACGCGGCCGGCCAATGGGCGCCGGCCGCCGGGCCGCGGGGGGTGGGGCGGGCGCGGGCTTCGGGGGCGCCCCCTCCCCTCGGAGCTGGCTGCAGGTTGTGGGGTGGGGGCCGGGACCCGCTCCGGTGGCCGCGGGGTGCACAGTCTCCGCCGGGCTCGGGCTCGCTCGGAGGCTGCTCCCTTCCCCGGCCCCTACCCCCACCCCGCCGTGTCGAAGTCGTCGAGGGTGACCAACCCCTCGGGGGCAGCACTCCCACCTCCCCAGCACGCACACTCTAGGGAGAGGAGAGGGCCTGCCCAGCGGCCCTCAGAGGTCGAGAAAGGCCCGGAGACATCCATTTGTAGTGGAAGAAATGGGAATGCTGAAAGCAGAATTGTGAGCTCACCCAGCGGGGTGGTGTTTATTGAGAACCTACTGTGTGCCCAGCGGGGGCCCTGCAGCGGTGAATGAGCCAGAAGGGAAATAAATCATGAGGTTCGATTAAAAATCGACTTTCGAAACAAACTTTTTACCACTCCCCAAAGGACAATGGCTCGTAAGTGTGCTTGTCATAGGACAAACGCAGGATCCGCGTCCAGAAAGTTCCCTGACGGCGGACAATGTCACTTTGCAGGCAGTCCCGGCCCACGGTGCACCCCATCTGCGGGCTAACCCTCTAGCCCGCCAAGTTGGATGCTCTGAGTATTCAGGGCCGGGGGCCTCTGCAATGACAGCCCCAGGCAGGCATGAGACGGGCTGGGGGCTGGAGGAACATCACCTTCCTTCCACCCAAACGCTGCTTTGCCTGCTCTGGGATCTACACCTGACACTTGCCGGCCTTTGGGCCTGAACCCAGACCCCCCCCCCAA